GCCTAGAAGCCTTTCCTGTAGACTCCAGAGCCTGGTGTTAGGAGAATCAGCTACTGGCAGGCTTGTTTTCTTTCCTCAGGGCTCAGCCTCCTCAGGGGAGCAGTGTGCCTTGGAGTGAGGCTGTGAAGAAAGCAGACATCTAGGTCTGGGCTGTTTGGAAGTGCAGTTGATGGTGCTGTGGAGACTGCAGGGGGCAGAGGGGCTGAGGAGAATAACAGCAATGCCTCATGGTCTAGGGGAGGGTTGGCTTTCCCTGCAGAAGTAGTAAGTGTAAACCTACATTGGCTACGGTAGACTGTGACTATAGTTCCAGACCTGGCTTTGTAAAGCATCTTATAACAGTGAAGAAAGTCCAGGCTTTGTAATCTGACAGCCCTGGGTTCACATCCCGGCTCTGGCACTTCCCAGAGTGGAAGGNTAAGTATACAGTTGAGAGACAGAAAACTTCCCTTTACAGGAATGAGAGCATGCAGAAATCTTCACTCACCCTTGAGTTTGTTTTTGATACTCTTTGGTGGGCTGGAGCTAGTGAGGCCAAGATCGGAAGGTCTGATCTTTACAAACTGTGCCCCACTCCCACTACCATAGGTTGGCTAGATTCTTACTAATAATCTCGAAAGTAGTGCTGAACTTCCTGGAGGCAGCAAAGNTTTTTTTAAAAAGATGACCGGTAAGGGGATCTTAACCCTTGGCTTTGTGTTGTCAGCACCGTGCTCAGCCAGTGAGTGAACCGGCCATCCCTACATAGGATCCGAACCCATGACCTTGGTGTTATCAGCACAGCACTCTCCTGAGTGAGCCACGGGCCGGCCCATGACTCCTTTTTATATGGCTCTCAAACCAAGAATAGTTTTTATGTTTCCAAAGGGTTATTTAAAAAAAGAAAAAAGTAACAGAGACGTATGTGGTCCACAAAGCCTAAAATATTTTAGGCCCCCAGACTTTCATCTTGTGTCTCCAGGGTCAGAGAAAGGGCTGCATGCATGGCTTAGAGTGTGGGCCATCAGCTTGCTCCTGGCAGGTCAGTGCAGCAACCCCCCCACACACATACCAGTTGGATAAGAGTATTTGAGATTTGTAAATGGGTTGGGGTCAGGTGGTACCACTGAGTCAGGAGAATAGTGCTGTGCTTGGAAGTAGGAATCAAGGACCCTGGGAGCTCTGCAGTGGAAGGGCAGCAGGACCGTGTTCCAGGGAGCACATTTTCGGAACAGATACAAACAGTTCTCCCCTATTCTCCATCCTTTCACCTAGGTTCACTGCAAGGCCACTGGTACAGACAATCTTCGAAGGTGGGAAGGCAACTTGTTTTGCATATGGCCAGACAGGAAGTGGCAAGACACATGTGAGTATTCAGGGCTGGCATGGAGAACCTTCTCTCGGTGCAACACGGGGTCCCTGAAAAGGAAGAGAACAGAAAGTCCCCTCAGTGCAGATGCCTTGTCACCAGATTCTCTCACCCTGCCAGATGCAGGGAGGGGCCTTAGCGGGTCCAGCCTCCTGGCTTTGATGTGGCCCACCATGAAGATGGAGTCAGCAGTGCTCTGGCTTAGGCCAAGGGTCCTTTATCATGGTCTTCTACCCCTTCTTTCTGCAGACTATGGGCGGAGACCTCTCTGGGAAAGCCCAGAATGCATCCAAAGGGATCTATGCCATGGCCTGTAAGTAATATGTTCTGCTGCATTGAGGTTGGGCACAGAAAGGCAGGTTGCTTACTTATCTAGGCTCTCTCCCTCAGCCCAGGATGTCTTTCTCCTGAAGAAGCAGCCCCGCTACCGGAATCTGGGCCTGGAAGTCTATGTTACGTTCTTTGAGATCTACAATGGGAAGGTAGTGGGCAGGGACTTCCCATTCATGCTGTTGGGGCCCCTGAACTTTCTGAAATCATGAAGTTGGCTAGAAGTTGTAGAAGCCAAACAACCTGTTAGCTGTCAAGCACGTGGCCCTGGCCTGTGTAGGAGGTTTCATCTGATGGTGAGCTAGCACTCAAGCTCAGCAAGTATAGCAGGAATACTGCTC